TTAAGGAGTTCATTGATAGTTAGCTTGTAGGGTTCCCAGACAGGAAAGCAATCAACCACATTTTGTCAGAACAAAGTCCTCTAATGTGCTTTAGTAAGACACAGTAAAAATTTAACCTGTCAGTCACCTTTTGCTGCAGAATGTAATCTGAATATTAAACCATCCTGCTTTCTGCATTTTTTTTTAAAACTCAGTGCTCAGGAGAAATAGAGGGGCTTTCTCTGAGGTCCAGCAGTAACTTGAAGTGTGTTCTGGGCAGAGGCTGGCTGCAGGGTGGTGGCCCAGAGGACCAGATGAGGGGCATGCATTTCCCTATGCTGATCCATCTTGCTGTGCAAAGTGTGTGTCCTGAAATCTGGAGCATAAGCTTGATTTCAAATAATTTTTGTAGCATGAAGGAAACTGGTCTTTAAAAGCTCCAGGCAAAAATTTCACCTCTTTCTCTTGGCTGCTTACAATTGTTTGTCTTCTATAGGCCATGAAGATGCTAACTGAATGCAGTGCCTTGTATTCTTGGGTCTTTATTTCCTCAAGCATTTATTTGATAGGAAAGAGGGTGTTCAGGGTTCAGCATCTCCTTTGATCTCTCTGTCATAAGGCCTTCCGGAGTCCTTGTGCAGAAGCCTGGGACTGAAGCTGAAGAAACACTAAAGGTGGGCGGTAGGAGCTTGCTTGCTGTGCAGTCTCCAAGTCTTCTGCTCCGCTGTAGAGACAGCAAGGAGGCTCTGTCCCTCTTCTGAGGCTGAGCAGAAAGAGTTTCTGTTTGTCTTGGGCCTTTGTGAAATGCAGGAAACTTAAGTCCTGTACAATGTTAACTTCCCAGGAGTCCTTAAATACACAAACCAAGCAGTGAAAGGGAATTCTCTTTCATTCTTTTAACATCCCCACCCCCCCACACCCCCACCTTTCAGTACATATTCACTAATGTACTGAGCTGGGAAAAGGGAATGGTCAGAATACTACTGACCACCAATGACCAGAATACCACCAATTTCTTTTGCCCTGTCACTGCCTTCCCATAGAGGACTCCAAATACCTGTCCAGTTGCCCCAGTTCATAAAAGGGAGACAAGGATCTTTCTCCTGTTCGTGGAGATTTCTTTTTTCTCTTAAGACTCATTGGTTCCTTTAATGAGTTGAAGAGTTCCAAGTGAATGCAACATGGTTGGGTTATTAATGGAAGTTTTGTATGGGATATCAGGGAGCCTAGATCTAAATGATCAAACCAGGTGAAGGTATAGTGATGATTGCTAACTAGAACCCATTGCCTGCTTTGAAGGTAAAGCAAGGCCTGCAACTTTGTAGGAGTTTTATTGCTTTACAATACACCCTGGCAATGCAAATAGTTCTAGTAATGTCAGCTTTATTATTGTGATTGCATCTGTATAGGAAGCCACTTCACTGTTTGCAAATAATTGATCAATTCACAGGTGTAATAATCCAACCCATCACCCTGTGCAAGAAGAGGTGAACACGGTGTAGTCAATCCTTGCTGCTGTCAGTAAGCTTTCAGTCTTTTCCATGGCCGTACACAGGAATTGCTGCAGTGAACTTACTGGGCAGGGCCAGGCCTGGCTTTTAAGGTGTCTAGCAGAGACTCAGCATCTTGTTTGTACCTCTGCAGCAGGAGGCCTGTGCATATGCAGGAAGTGCAAATGCCGTTTGAGAGAGGATTAAGAACATGATTAGAAAGTTACAGACTGGGGAAATGTGCCCACTGTTCCACTTCTAGTGGGAAATAAACAGTAGCTGGGACTTGACAGTTCTACTACCTTGGCTGGCCATAGCTATCAATCTGTCGCTACTCTGCCTTGACTGCTTCCCCACTGAGGAGACAGCCTCCTTCATCCCTCTGTGAGCTCCTTCTCCCAGCTCTCCTCTAGTATCTCCTAGCCTGGAGAGTATCAGAAATACTGCTTTAAAGGCCATTTATTTAGCCTGATATTTTTATCACTAAAAATCAATATGTATAGAATATTTGTTTAAAACTTCGTTTCTAATGGCGTAACACTCTGGGAAAGCTCACAGGGTGCGCATGGTTAATACAGCTGATTGAACTGAATGTACATGGTATTGATACATCCTGACGCTGCATCTGTCAGTTGTCATTAAGGCCTGGAAGTGGTGAATGTCGATCAGTTAATGCCTATGCACTCACATGTATTTGTATTGATGGGGTTTTGTCCTCTTTCTCCATTACATTGATCCCCAGGCTAGGGTTCGTTGCTCAGAACATTTACTAGCTGTTCTTTGTAAAGCACAACTCACTGCCACCAGAATTTGAAATCTAAGTGTTGTCTAATTGCTAGCTTTCCTTCAGGTATGTCACCAAACTTTTAGTGATGGAACTTAGACTTTGCTGTAAAAATATATTTTTTTACTTGTCATTTAAATACTTGCTAACTTAAAGCTTGTAAAAATCTGTGATGGTTTCCCTCACCTCAAGTTACTGTTCAGTTCACTGGAAAAAGATGATACTGTGATGAGGTATACAAAGGCAGCAAATCATTAGGTCCTAAATGGGGCACATTTGCAAACAACCGATGCACCCTTGCAATTGACACTTGACCTCCCCAGAGAACTCAGCTATAAAATCGAGTTAATGTTGGAGCTGATTTGACTGTGAAGCGACTGCCTCGGAGCTGGGCTGCTTTGCAATTATAGTTCTGCTTGTATAAAAGATATACCAATTGGAAATAAATGCTTGCAGTTATAATAAACACAGCAGTCAAAGTATCTCCAATGGCTGGAAGGATTCTAAGCAAGCAGCTGAGATGATCGAGTAATTTAAATAAATGTAGAGCCGGTGACAACAAAGCTGGATCTGAAAGCAGCATTTGCTCTTGCTTTGATTTTATTGAAGGTGGGTAAAGCAGAAGTTAGGGGTCTAAATGAGCCAAATGTCAGGCCCACCCACGTTCTGTGAAAATAAGCTCAAGACTGGGGACTTGCCAGTTTGTCCTTGTAAATTTGTTGAGTGTGTCCTTGGTGTTTTACTTCAAATGCAGTTCCTTTTCCCTCAAGAAAAAACTAACATAATCAATATGTATGCTGTACAAAATTGAGGGGGAAAATTGGAACCAAATTTCTTTTTAATACAGAGAAAGAGTCTATGAGAAAGTCTTCTGATGACCCCTTTAATCAAAATGCGCAGGAAATGCAGACATTTTCATGGATAATTGATGAGACACGGGGGAAAAACGGAGAAGAGTTGAATGGTTATGATCATCCAAAAGGGAAAATCTTAAAAGTCTTATTTTTCGTTTCTTCTCAATATTGTCTAACAATTGTTTCAAAAACATCATCAGTGCATCTTATTTAGAAAAGGTATAGTCAGTGCTGTTTTTTTCAATGACTTTTTTCATTGATTTTAGTGAGTTGAGATGAGGTTGTTTGGAACTAAAGTGCGTTAATGCACTCCTGTGTTCACTGCTCAGAGGTGATCTGTTATAAAACAAGAAAACTGCAGTCTATCTTTTCCACTTCTACCTACAGTTCAGCAGCATGGCAGGTTGCGTATCTGTGTGGCTAGCACAGGGAAAGCTTACTCCACTGTCTGTTTTTTTCAGGAGCTCTGCTTCTTTTACCTCCATGGTTGCTCCCCCCTGCCGCCCTCCCCCCCTTTTAAGCTTGATGATACTAAATCAAGACACACAGGAAGTTAATGAACAATAATCTAGTCAGTACACATCAATTTAGCTAAAGTACCTAAAGATGGTTTATCAAAAGAACAGAGCCCCCCCCCCCTTTTTTTTTTTTGACAGTCCCATCACTTCTGCCTCTGATTTTGTGCACTTTATCTTTTTAGGTTATCTGAGGATGTGGGCTCATAGGAAAGTCCCAGTGCTTTTGGGCATGACAGATTATAGAATGTGTGGGTAATACAGAAGAAATAGAATAGTTTACAGATTGTCCAAATTAGTATAGAATAATATCCTTGCTTGCAGTTGAGATACTTAACTTGGCAGTATTGTTATACCACTTTGAGGTGGAAAATTGTTAGATGAGGTCTATGCAGAAAAGGGAGCAGGATTTGTTTCTGGGTATTTACATTTATTTGTAAAGATTTCTTCCTCTTTAAGTCCTTACACAGCATATTGGAACTGCTAACTATGTAAATGTATCACCTAGTTATCTTCCATAACAAAGGGCAGTATTTATGAGCTGCCCTGCTAAACTGTCACATTTCCATTGTTGCTTGACATTTGTACTGTAACTCTTGTGGTCTGCTGCTTAATTTCTTTGTCTCTGACAGACACCCATTTAGGAGTCCTGGAAAATACAAAGTGGAGCCAGTTAACATTGAATGATCTTAAAACTAGGCTGAACTTTTGTTTTCATCGGGTAGGAAGATGATGCCATCAGCTAATTTGGTTGATCAATAGCCCTGCTTGCGATAAGGTTTCAAAGCTTGTGGCTAAAAGCTGATTGCTCTGGATCCGAAATAAATTTGATCTATTGGTTTCCACAAATGTAGCATAGCCCAGGATGATGCTTCAGTGCTGATGCTTAACTAATTTTTATAATGCTAACAGACTAGTCTGGTGCTTGCTGGGAGGACACTGTAATACATGAACCCTCTGCAGCAGAGCATTTACTTAAGATGCTTTTTACAGTAGCATGGAGCTGTCACTCTCTAGCAAAGAGCAATCATAAAGGTTCATTATTCTGAGATTGGGAACCATTACAGTCTCTGCTGAGCAAGTTTAATGACATCTTTCATTAATGCAAACTTTGATCCTGGTTTCCTAAAAAGGGAGAGGTACTGGCAAGATATTAGATTGGTTTGTTAGTTTTGGCTGGAGAAATAAGTGTTACTGAAAAATGAGGTAAAGTTCTGTAGCTGAAGTGGAAAAAAGTGTGCAAGCCGTGTTTGTGATAAGCATTTGGGTATGCAGTTTCAGAAAGGATCCAGCCACGTTGTTTCTTCATGCTGGGTGGGACCATATTCTGCTGGGAAGGTGGACTAAAGTTTAACTGATGCTTTCATCTCCATTTCAGTGACTATAACATGGCTACGGGGCCAACAGAGGTCACACAGTCACCTGAAACAGGAGAAACAGTTGGAGAGTGTACAGGTAAGCAGTTGTTCTCTGAATGTATAGCTGATTTGGAAGTCAAGATTTATTTTCTTCAGGTTGGGGGGCCTGTAGTGACTTGTTTTGCAGTGTTGTGTTGTTTTTTGTAGGTGTGGCTTTGTCAGTTGGCAATATTATGGGAAGGATCTTTTAACGTGCAGTAGTGGAAGGTTGTAACCAGATGGAGGATATTCTTTTCCAATTCTAGTTTGGATTTTCAAAACCAGGACGTTGGAGCTTGAAGGGCTGATTGCTGTGCCTGCTTTGCTGGATCCTACGGCGGTGAGAGCTGAGCTTGTTAGCCAGCATCTCTCTGTGCGAGCTGTATCAGTACCTGCACTGCCACCTTATTCTCTGCTTCTGGCCACAGACAACTATTTGTTACTTATTCTTTAATGTAGTGGCATGGGCTGATGCAAACAGCGGTGAGGGAATGGAATAATAGGCAAGAAAAGTAACTATCTTACTTATGCCAAAGATTTGTCTTAGTTAAAGGAAGTTCCCTTTGCCAGTGTTCAGACTGTTTTTGGGGAGATAGGTGAATATGAAGAATAGCATCGTGGGTGAGGCATTTCAGGAGAAGTGGCTGTCATATTTTTTTTTCTTTTCTTTGGCTAATGTCTCGCAATCATCTTATATCTTTGTGTTTCAAAGGTCATCTTGCTTTATCCTTTAGAAATACATTTACCATGATCAGAATATTGGTAGAATAGAGAAGCAAATGGCAAAGTGACTGTTAGTTGAATTCTGCATGACAGATAGATAGGGGTGAAGAAAGTGTAATGATGGATGCTCAGCAGCAACTGGTTTCTTAAATTTATAGTATAGTTTATCACATAGTCCACTGCTAACTATGGCACACTGGTGAACTTATGTGAAACCCACACATGCAAATTTTGTACTGGGGTTCACTAGAAGGTTCAGAAAATGGATCAAATTCTGACCACGGTGACAAGAAAGGCAGGAGGTGGCTTGCTGTCTGAAGTGTTGGCTCTAAACCCACCAGGAATATTTCTGTCTCTAATTGGGCCAAAGTTTAAAGAAGTTAAAGGCTACTGTGCTATTGCTGAAGTATTCAAGAGACACTTGACCGGACCTGGATAAATCCTTTTCAGGATCTTTTGTTTACTTCTCGTGTAACGTAGGATTGCCTCACTTTTTCCTCTTCATAGCTTTAATTGGCTTGTGATGTAAAGGCTCCAGGAGGCTAAAATTCCCAGCCTTCACAGTCTAGTCAATCAGATTAATTTCTTGAGGTTTACCTTATTGTCTGACGAGTAGTAGAGGCCTTCCAGTGCATGCTGTTCCTTCTTTATGGCAGTAACCAGGTCACTGTCCAAAAACTACCTTACTGAATTCCATAATTTAATTGCCTTTCTGGCAATATCAGGTATTTTTAATTAAGCTACAATCATGGTATTTTCTAAGAATCTTGTCTGTGTTTTTTTTATCATGTGTTTTTATTGGTGAAAGCATCTAGTCCTTGGATTTGAGGAAAAAATGGAAAACGAGTCCTGAACACACCTTAGGAAGTCGGAGAGCACAGAGGATGCCAAAATTAACTGTTTAATTTAAATATGATAATTGAATTCCCAAATCAGATGTTCCCTATGCTTTTTACAGTCTCAATTTGGCACTGGAAAAAGCATATTTTTCTCTTCTATCTTGTTATTGGGAAGAACCATGCAAAGAGCTGAAAGACATGTATTAATTCTCTCTGTGCACAGAAGAAACAATGAAATTGGCAGTACCCAAACGGTAAAAAATACAGAATAAACAAACTTTACAGAGAAAGCAAAATGCTTATTCCTGTTCCTTTTCTGTTACAGTGGGTTAAATTGCAGTTACCATAAGCAACTAATTTTTGTGAAGGCTTTTGCTTTTTAGGGCAGTGGCCTTTAATCTTTTTTTATTTTTAATGCCATAAAATTGAAGATTGGTAACTGTAAGAATTCAAAAATCATGAGTCACTATCATCACTGGGTGAAAGGGGATTAGGCATAGTTGTCTGAACTTGGGTTTTCTCTCCTTGCTTTGACTGGATTTTTGTTATGCAATGCATTTTTTCCATTTTAAGTAATAAAATCCGCTTGTATATTATTAGTTCAAGTATCATAGAGCTCTCTACCAATTCAGTGATATGTTCGGCTACTTCATAGTGCACTGAAATGTAGGCACCTTTAAATTAAATGTGGCATTGTTTTAATGGTGCGCAAAACCAGCGCACAACTGTTCACAGCAGGAAACGAGGATGGGCACTGTCTTTCTGGACCGTGTCTTTATTACCAAATGGTCTCACATAGGTTGGTCCCACAGTTTTCATCTGCATGCAGTACTAAGTGTAGTAGTGATTTTATCTGTTTTTTTGCATAATAATATGGTAAGTGCCCATCTTCTGGAACTGCAGGGAAACTTACTGTTTTCTCATTCATCTGAAACAGCTGAAGGCATGCAGCTGAGCAGAGCACAGCTGAAGAGGAATTATTGCGGGAGGGGGTGCGCCCTGCACATCAGTAGTAAATTAGAGGCTAGAGAAGGCACTGAAGTAACTGATGTGTCTACATCAGAGGACTCTGTGTTGCACAGTGATACCCAAGTGTTGTCCTGTGCCAGCTGAAGGTTACTCGTTGGCAGTGTTTGCAAATCCTTTCCATGAGCTCCGTTCTAAAGTTAGCACCACTTCTGATCTAAACAAGTATTTGGAGTAGTACCTTGGCAATGTTATCCTTTGTGGTAGGACTTATGTCTGTTTCTCTTAAAAGTCCTTAGGATCACTTCTTTTTTTTTGTCATTGTTATTGTGGTGTAGGTTTGGGGTTTTTTTTAAACATTACCCTGGTTCTCTGGAAATACCAGCATCTAATTAAGCTCATCAGTACTACTTGCACTAGAATCGAATTTGCTTTCTGTCTGTCCCAGTGTCAGCTGACCAGTGTACATGACAATGTCCTTATTTTTCAGTTAGACTGCTTCACTGCATGTAGCAAAGTCTGCTCTTTTGTTCTTTGAGTCATTGGACTGCATTAGCAGACCTTACTGAGTTGATAATTTTGGGGCACTGCTTTCATGAAACTTTTTAATCTTTTGTTTTGCTGGGGTAAAATAAACCAACTCAGTTTTGACAAGTTTCCTGGGAGAATACCATATAGATTGTCTAATTGCTGATATGAATGGCAGTAATGGTAGGGAGGCATTTCTGAAGACTCTCTAAAGGATACTCAACATGCTTGTTTTATTTGAGAGGCACTGTGGTTGCTGTGTGACCTGTCTTCTCTTACCAGTTCTTGCAGTGGGTGCAGCATGAAACTTATTGAGCCCAGTGAGAGTCTTAACAAATCCAAAAGCCTTGGGGTCAGCTCTGTAGTCTGGGGCAGGCAGTATAATATACCTGTATATTTTCTGTGACTATCTCATTCACTTACTGCCTGATAAACAGCAGTGGAAGATAAAATAGTCTTCCACTGATAAACCCTCCATAGGAGCACCACATCCCATTATCATTCAGATGAGTGGGACTCCATTAATAGTTTTGCTCTACATGAAAGATAATTTGGTCTCAGTGATAGCTCAAATCACTTGAAAAGCAATGTGCAGATCTTCCCAGGCTGTTACTGCTCTGCAGAGGTAGCTGTCTCATCAGTCTGTGCTGGGCAGTGTAGCAGCATCCTTGTACGTCCTGACGCACGGTGCTGGCACTGGTCTTGAGAGCAGGGAGGAGACAGGGTGAGTAGATCTCACTATCATTGTTTATTTCTCAAAGTGGCTACTGTCTGATGCAGCTGTGCGGATGGCACAGTTTCGGCCCAGATAAGGCCCATTGGCAGAGATCCCTACAC